GTGTGTGTGTGTGTGTGTGTGTGTGTGTGTGTGTGTGTGTGTGTGTGAATGCAGGGCGCATACTTTTAATTTTTTCACACGCACTCCCGACTGTACTCGCTCATCTATTTCTGGAGGAAGCTATGTTTTTGGACAGCCTCGTTAGCTCCGCTTGATTAAGTCATTAAAGCTGTCTGCCCATCCCTAAGTGGCAGCGCAAAGCTCCTGTCGCACAGCATCACCGTCCACGCCACCGGAGCCATTGTGTGGTGCTCAGCAGTTACGCAAGAGCCGGGCCCGCAGTCGAAGTTCACGGCTGAGGTCGGCTTCTCTAAACAAGCTGGAATCCAGGGAAAGCACTGTTTGTGTGACGACTCACAGTTTGGCAATTCAGCATCTTAAGAAATGCCAATACCTCTCGTGGTGTCTTTTTTTTTTTTGTGGCACTTATTTATTTGTGTTTATTACTTGTTTTTGCGGCTGTTAATAGATCAGCGGTGCCGGGTCACATTAAATTGAGTCTGTCTGACTCACACCCTCCCTTTAGTTCTTTTAGCTGGTTATTTTCTATAATTATGGTGTCATCACAGCAATATTGCAAAGGGCACAGGGACCGTGCTCTGGACATGTTGCTGTCAATTTAAGTGTTTTTTGTTTTGTCTCCTCACTCTTTGTTTCCATCTTCCTCCTTCCTTCCCTGCTTCCTCACCCCTCTCTCCTCACCCTCTCTCCTCATTTGTCCTGACCTCTCCCTCCGTCCCTTTCTTGTCTCTCTGTCTCCAGGTGGCTATAAAAATAGTGGATAAGACCCAGCTGGACGATGAGAACCTGAAAAAGATTTTCAGAGAGGTGCAGATCATGAAGTTGCTGAAGCACCCCCACATCATCCGCCTCTACCAGGTACACATGAACCCACAGCTTACACCTGAGACCCATGGCCCGATAGGAAAAGGACAAACACAATACATGTTGGTGACTGGCCCACGGTGTTGAAAATTGCAGGCATTGTTTGGTAGTATTAAAATATAAAGACAATACACTGAGTAAATGGCAGTTTTAGTTCTATTTGAATCTTCCTGTGTGTATGCCAACCACTGCTTACTCATTGTGTTGTGTAACGGGTGAGCCGCCCATCACTGGCCTATCAGAGGCTCTGTAGGTCCTGGTTGTTACCGTTTGTTTATGTCTTCAGGTGATGGAGACAGAGCGGATGATCTATCTGGTGACAGAGTACGCTAGCGGCGGAGAAATATTCGGTAAGGGAGTGTCCCGTTTCTCAGCATGTCTCCTCGATTGTTTAAAGATTTATTTGTCTAAATGGGAACCTCATCATCTTCATTTGCATATTCACAACTGAGTACCATAAGTCTCTAAACTGTCCATTTTGTGTGTGCGTGCAGACCACCTGGTGGCTCATGGGCGCATGGCGGAGAAGGACGCCAGGAAGAAGTTCAAACAGATTGTGGCAGCAGTCCATTTCTGTCACTGCCGCAACATCGTCCACAGAGACCTGAAGGCTGAGAATCTGCTGCTGGACCACAACCTCAACATCAAAATCGCAGGTGTGTGTGTGTGTGTGTGTGTGTGTGTGTGTGTGTGTGTGTGTACTTAAGAATGTATGGGTGGGAAACTTAGTTTAGTGGTTTTTGGCTGTCTTGGTGAGTGGGCGAAGGCAAGTGTCAACATGTGCTTTTGGAAGCCTTTTCTCTGGTTGATTGACTTGACTCCGTCGAGTAAAGTGATGCGATTGAGTGAACCTCTCCTCTCACCCGGACAGATTTTGGATTCAGTAACCTGTTTTCTCGAGGACAGCTGTTGAAGACGTGGTGTGGCAGCCCTCCCTATGCCGCGCCAGAACTCTTTGAGGGCAAGGAGTATGACGGGCCGAAAGTAGACATATGGGTGAGTAGACTTTCAGGTATGCACACGGCCCTGTTGGGCTGCCACACAGGGTGTAGCTGATTGGCTTGAAGACAACAAAATAATGAAACAGGCTACAGCGCTCTAGATTTATTACTTGTTTGTTGAAGTCCTTTTTATATATTGTGTACTCATGGTTTGTGTCCTGTCGTCTTCTCTCTCTATAGAGCTTAGGTGTGGTGTTGTATGTGTTGGTGTGCGGCGCCCTGCCTTTCGACGGCAGCACTCTACAAAATTTGCGGGCACGTGTCCTCAGCGGCAAGTTCCGCATCCCCTTCTTCATGTCCACAGGTAGGACTCTAGTCAGTCCTCACTCTTCCTGTGTCTCTTTACGTCCTCCTCCGGACCATAATGCCATTAGCTTTAGTCTGAAGCGTTTTCTCAAATCCAAACAAAAGTCATGTTTTCAGGACTTTGTGTTTATCCTTGTGGTCCATGTTACATGATAGTTACAAGAAATACAATAAACATGTTGAGGGCGTCCTTCATTCCTCATAAAACATTTTGTATCGTACATTATTTATATCCATGTTTGTTTAGTCTTCAATGCCTTTGTTAGTGCATTACTATGTTATTTGGTGTGTTACAGCCAGCGAAATAGTGGTGTGTGTGTTTGCGTGTGCGTGTGTGCGCAATTTGCATCCTTGTGCGTGATACAAACTAAAACAAGGACCCGCTCACAAAAGCATTGTTCCATAGGGATCCATTTGGTTAAAAAGCATCCACAGACTACCCGTAACAGTGGCTTTGGTCAGCTTGAACTTGAAGTTTTCACAGTGGAATAAAATGTCAAAATGTTCGCTAAAAACACTCTTTTGGCAAATCTGGGTTGAGAATTATCTGTGGATGTTGAGACACTTATTTCTGCAAAAAACAAAGTACCGCAAGTTAGAAAACAAAGTGGAAAGAATTGTAATTTTCTCTATGAATAATACAAACAATTTTAGCAATTTTGTTGGTACATTTGAATATTTTTCCACAAAGTCTGTTCGTGTCGTTGCAGACTGCGAGTACTTGATCAGACACATGTTGGTGCTGGAGCCCAGCAGACGGTTGACCATGGAGCAGATCAATAAGAACAAGTGGATGAGACTAGGAGACCCGGACCCAGACTTCGACAGGGTAAGACTCTCCATCGTCCTGTAGTGATAATTATCTGACGCAAAATCATTGCAGCCTAACATGTGTTGAGTCTGTGTTGCATTGTGCATCTTTGTGCACATATTAGCTTAGCACAAAGACCATAAATAGCTAGCCTGGCTGTGTCCACCTACCGGCACCTCTAAAGCTCACTAATTAACATATCACCCCCCCTTCCTCTCCCCTCCAGTTGATAGCGGAGTGTGAGCAGGTGAAGACGGAGAGAGAGATCGAGCTCATCAATGAGCAGGTGCTGATAGCCATGTGTGAGATGGGCCTGGACCGAGAACGCACACTTCAGGTTGGACACAAATACGTAGCTGACTTCCATTTTCTGCTCTGCCTTTTGGTAAAAAAAAAAAAATAGAGGTGTAACGGTCTTAGTAACTTATACTAATTCTGCCTTTTCTTCTCCAGTCCTTACAAACTGATGCATACGATCACTACAGCGCCATCTACAGTTTGCTGGCCGACCGCCTCAAGAAACACAAGACCCTGCGCGTGGCCCCGCCCACACCGCGCTCCATTAGCTATCCTCTTAACGCCGTACAGGTAATTCATCGCTCACTGGTGTTGGCTTCATGTTGGTGGTTTAGCAGCCCGCACGTGTCACTTTTCAACACAGTTTCATAGTATTGTGGGAAGTTTTTTTTATAGTTGTAAGCAATGTTTCAAGATGGTCATAACCTGAGCTTAACACACCCTAAAGTTATCTCATCCATCAGATGTGTACCTCTCAATACAGCTAATTAACTGTATAGATTTATTCTTCGTGGATATGTTGCTTCTTCCTTGTTATTAAAGTAACAGTTGATGGTGAGAGTGCTTTTGATGAAGCTGAGTTGATTGCTTTAACCCACATCCACCAATCCCACTGCACTAATGAGATTGCTAGATTATTAGCACAATCCTCACACGACCCGTCTGTGTATGTGTGTACGTGCCCAGCAGACGGATCCGCAGGGTAATCCCGTTAGCATGACCGTTCCCCACGTCCAGCTCATCAACCCAGAGAACCAGATCGTTGAGGTGAGTCCACGATGGCTGCATCCCCGTAGCAGCAGTTGGGGTCCTCGTGCACGATAAACAAGCTAGTTTATGTAGCTGAAGTCCCAACCATAGCTCTGACTGCTTCTTATTTAAAGAGTTTGATTGTTAGCATTGTTGTCCCTTAACCTGTTAAAGGAATTGATGCACCACCTAAACATCAGTCAACACAACCGCTTCCAGTCGTCATATTTATGACGTTTTACATGTTTTAATTACGGCATGTCCAGTATTTACAGCTTACTACTGTTAGTGCAGCCCGGGATCCATCTCACACATTATGACCAGACTCACATAATCGCAGACACACTCAAACAGAACACGCACAGCCTCAAAGCTGACTCACAAATGCTGTGAAACACAAGAATGCGTCAGATTACTGCATTGCAGCAGGGATTTTAATAGAAGACCTGAACTTTTAAAGCATGTATATTACAAGTAAAACACATAAAATATATATGATCGTTTGATACAATGCTACACATGAACACAAGCATGCAACACACACTAAGAAAGGGCATTGCTAATGTGTGTGTGTGTGTGTGTGTGTGTGTTTTTTTGTTTAGCCGGATGGCAACATGGCACTGGACAGCGATGAAGGGGAGGAGCCATCTCCCGAGGCCATGGCTCGCTACCTTTCCATGAGGCGGCACACGGTGGGAGTACCAGACCAAAGGTAAAGCTCTCAGTGATGTTTAATAATAAATGACTTATTTGGGATATATGAGCTAGTTGCCACATAAATGAAGCCACTGACTCCTGTCCGGTCGTTGTCCCCTCTTCCAACACAGGACAGAGATGCAGGAGGACCTCCAGAAACTGCCACCAGGTTTCCATTGCGGTGCAGTTCCCCAGCCCCTGTTCCCCTCACTGGCCCCCACTATGGGCCAAATGCACACTCTCATGCCCACGCAGAGCTTGCAGCCCACACAGCAGCTGGAGTACAAGGTACAGTCAGTTGGGTTAGATTGGACGTGGGCTCTTTCAGTTTGTATTGGGAAGCTTCTGGAAGTCATCAGTTAGTTTCCAGAAACGTATTCATTTCCCCTCAAATCTGACTTTCTGTCTGCTGATCCTCCAGGAGCAGTCGTTGCTGCAGCCACCTACCCTGCAGCTGCTCAACGGCATGGGGCCTCTTGGTCGAAGAGCTTCCGACGGCGGGGCCAACATTCAACTACACGCTCAGCTCCTCAAGAGGCCCCGGGGGCCCTCACCGCTTGTTGCCAGCCCGGTGAGGATCTGGATTTCTGTGCATTTTCTACATCCTCCCCTCATATAAACTGAGTGTTGACTGGTAAATTCTTCTTGCCTCTCTTAGCACCCGATCCCTGCAGTAGCTCCGGTGGATGAGGAAGGTTCAGACGGAGAGCCAGACCAGGAGGCAGTACAGAGGTATCCCACGATTACGGCTTTTGGTGAAGGGCTACACTGTACAGGGGTGCTGTCTAAACTGGATACTCTGGGAGGCCGTAACCTGCGACAAGACGTCTGTGGGTTCTGTATGAATGTAGTCCTTTCAGTAGTTTTATTTGTTAGATTTACATTTATTCTTTACTTAACTAATTTACTAGGACATTTGTTATAGTAATGGCCTGTTCAGCAAACTTAAGAGGAGGATATATGTTTTAAATCCAGTTAGTTGAATAACTTCTTTATTACAAAAAAAGCAAAAAAAAAAAAATGGGGTTACCAAACAAATACGACACAGTTAATAGACATATTTATGCAAGAAAAACCTTTCAAAATAAGAGACTTGGAAGGAGCTGAAGTCAGGCCAGGGTAGAGACAGCATCAGGTTTGGGTTATGGGGTCTGGATGTTGGATTCAGAAGTCCAGGTTCGGGTTTCCCAGCCGGTCCTCCTCAGACAGCACCTTCTGTAGGCTTCGCTGGTGTCCTGGGTTGCTGGGAGTGAGTGCCTCTCGGCTGCTCTGCTTTTTCCTACGGGAAGTGGCCACTCTGCTGTGGTGCTTACACCATCTCTCCTCCTATCTCCATCGCGCAAGTGCCTTCTGCCACAGTTCCAAAACTCAATCTGCCACCAAATCCAGCTCTTTAGCCAAGAGCTTCTTTGTCTCTTTCATTTCAGTAAGTGCCAAATTATTCTCCGGACTTTCTCACTCTTTCTCTCACAGCTTTGCTTAGCTTGCAAAACCCAAAAAAAAAAATCGGCATCCAGTCCAATCCTTAAATTGGAAGCTGGGGGGTTGTGGGATACCCGTAAGCAATAACATCCATCTATGGTGTAATTTTATTATGTTTTTCTGATTGGCTAAGATGATATGAATGATGGCACCTATTGGCAGAGGTGGGAAGGGGCGGGCCTCCCCCCCCCCCCGTCTCCATTAGCCAATGAGGACAGAGAGCTGACCA